GTAGTAGTATAGTAGTGGTGGTTAGCTAGTGTAGTAGTAGTAGTAGTCGTAGTAGTAGTCGTAGTAGTAGTCGTAGTAGTAGTAGTCGTAGTAGTAGTAGTAGTAGTAGTAGTAGTAGTAGTAGTAGTAGTAGTAGTATCAATAGTAGTAGTAGTAGTAGTAGTAGTAGTAGTAGTAGTAGTAGTAGTAGTAGGTAACGTCCTGCGCGTCCGGGTCCCTAGTAGTGAACCGTTTTCCTGATGCTGCTTCGCTGTCGTTTGCATTATTTTGGATTCTCTGGTGTGTTTTGGAGGCTTATGCGGCGCATGTTGGAGTGACAATTTATACCACGGTTTTTCCATGTGGTTTTTGGGCTTAAGTTGGTCCCCGTCCATACAATCGGACATGATGGAACCGAACGTCCTGTGCGTCCGTGCACCCCGCTGTCGAAGGTGGAGGATGATGAGGAGTTGGAACATGATGACGATGATTGTGACGATGATGTTGTTGTGGTGATGATGATGGTGATGCTGGTCAGGATGATGGTTGGGATGATGCTCATGATGATGATGATGATGATGATGATGATGATGATGATGATGATGATGATGACGATCATGATGATGATGATGATGATGACGACTAGGAGGAGGTGATGACGATGCTCTTGGTGACTTTCGGAGCTCTCTTGGGAGTGCTCTTGGAGCCTTCCTACAGTTTCTTGGGGAGCTCTTGGGCCGTCTGGAAGCCCAGTAGGGCGTTTCGGAGCGATCTGTCGCAACATGGGGCCCTCTTGAGTCGTCTTCGGGGCCTCTGGTGTCCTCGTCGTCCGTTTGGGGGCTTGTCTGAGCTGGAGCTTGCAAACGCACGCGCCAAGCCGCGACGCGACAACAAGCCGCGACGCGCCCTAGGGATTCCTAGGGATTCCTAGGTAGTGGAACCCTTCGAAATCTTTGAAATTCGTAGGATTCCCAAGGATGTCGCTAGTGACCGGGACGGGCATGGCGTTCGGTTTGCGCAAGGAGTCTTCAGGATTCGCAAGGGATTCCTAAGGATTCGTAGGGTTTTCCTAAGGCTTCCCAGGGTTTCTTCGGGATTCCTCGGGAGTCGTTGGGAGCCGTAGGGGTTCCTGGGGAGTCGTAGGGATTGGGTAAGGGTTCCTAGAGATTCCTAGGGGTTCCTAGGGAGTCTCTTTGGGATTCCAAGGGGTTCTCCTAGGGATTCCTAGGTGGTGAAATTCTTAGGGGTCCTTGCACATCGGGAGGATTTCGCTAAGGACCCGGACGGGCAAGGCGTTCGGTTTGCGCAAGGAGTCGTCAGGATTCGCAAGGGATTCCTAAGGATTCGAACGGATTCCCAGTGATTTGTAGGGATTCCTCGGGAGTCGAAGGGTGTCGTAGGGATTCCTGGGGAGTCGTAGGGATTTGTCAGGGTTCCTGGAGATTCCTACGGATATCTAAGGATTCCTAGGGGTTCCTAGGGATTCTCTTGGGATTCCTAGGTAGTGAAATCCTGAGTGGTCTTTGCAAATCGTAAAGATTTGGGCGGTTTCCTAAGGATTTCACTAGGGACCCGGACGGGCAAGGTATTCGGTTTGCGCAAGGAGTCTTGAGGATTCGTGAGGGAATCCTAAGAATTCGTAGGGATTTGTTGGGATTCCGAAAGATTCCTAAGTATTCCTAGGAATTCCTTAGGATTCTTAGAGGTTCCCAACGATTCCTAGGGATTCCTAGGGAGTCGTCGGGATTTGTAGGCATCCCAAGAGATTCTTAGTGATATCTAGGGATTCCTAGGCAGGCTTAGGGATCCCATAGGGATTCCTAGGTAGTGAAATATTTTGGAATTTCTGCGAATCGGAAGGATTTGTATGGGCTCCTTAGGATTTCGTTAAGGACCTGGACGGGCAAGGCGTCTGGTTTGCGCAAGGAGTGATAAGGATTCGCAGGGGATTTTTATGAATTCGTAGGGATTCGTTGGGATTCCTAGGGATTCCTATTGAGTCGTAGGGTTTCGTAGAGATTCCTGGGGAGTCGTAGGGGGTGTCTATGGATTCCTAGGGATTCCGAGAGATTCCTATGGTTTCTGGGGGTTCTGTCAAGATTCTTATTGATTCTTCAGGATTCCTAGGCATTACTATGGATTCCTCGGTAGAGAAATCTTTAGGGATTTTTGCAGATCGTAAGGATTTGTATGGGTTCCAAGGATTTCGCTAGGGACCCGGACGGGCAAGGCGTTCGGTTTGCGCAAGGAGTCTTCAGGATTCGCAAGGGATTCCGAAGGATTCGCAGGGATTCGTAGGGATTCCTATGTATTGCTAAGGATTCCTAGGAAGTCGTAGGGAATCGTAGGTGTTCCTAGGGAGTCGTAGGGAGTCGTGGGGATTCTTAGGGATATCTAGAGATTCCTAGGGCTTCCTAGGTAGTCGTAGGGATCCCCATGGATTCCTAGGGGGTCCTCGGGTTTCCTAAGGATTCCAAGGGAGTCGTAGGTATTCGTACGGATATCTAAGAATTCCGATGGA